AATAAATCACTACTCTAACAAACATGGCCTGGAGAAAGCAGCAAGCCTCTGACAGCTCTTTGAAACCCAGCTTTAGAGGTGAAAAAGTTTTTTTCTTTTCAACTTGATGAAGCTCTGTGTTGTGTAAAATCAACCTCTTGAAATAAAATTAGAAATGTCTTGTTTCAAAAACTGATCCACGCATTCCTCATTTCTACACTGGACTACAGTCATTTTTTATAATCCGAGTGTCCAAAAAACTCTAAACCTTTGGCTACATTTCTGCTACTTTTGACTGATGTGCTCAATTTAGTTTGTGTTCTGCTCTTTTTAACCGGTCTTCTGTTTGTTTTATTTTTAACAATTTTACAGGTTAGGGTTTTTTAATGTTTAATGTTTTGGATGGGGTGGGGGTATAATGAGTACATACTGTGTTCTGATCCAAAGATCGCACTCTTGGAAAGTGTATTTGTCTCTGCTTCATTTTGGACTATTTGTCTTTAGTTCTCACAAACAAATTTAATCATTAAATGCACCTCAGAGACATGCTTTGACAGGTTTTTCATTATTTCTAGCAGAACTGCCAAGTACCTGTTCTCTAATCACATCAGATTTCTCTCCAGCATTTGTTCACCTTGTGTGGGTCTTTTCTCCAGAGGAGCCCCACGAGCAGGCAGCCAGAAAACATCATTATTTCAGTAATATACTTCCTTCAGGGTCTCGTTGCAAATTTACTCATTGATTACAACAAGGCATTAAATGCTTTACAATTTATCAGTGTTTCACTGAACCCACATAAATCTGCTCAAACCTGAACTTTTCTAGCTTGTGAGATGAATTTTTATTCACTGCTCATTGGACTGGACTGCAGAAGGCTGGGCTGTCTGCTGCAACGCCCTCTTCTAAAATAGACCTGTCAGAGCAAAGTTCAAACTCCATAAATCAAGGCTTTATGCAAGAATAGATTACGTCTGCACAGAGAGCTGACATTACCAGCATGTTTTATTATTGAACTCCATCATAAAATGTATTTGATCGTGTAATTACCTTTAACCTGTCTGTGTGTTCATTTGTCTGTCTGAAAAACATCTTGTGAACCACTGGACAAACTGCAGGACACAAATTTCAGTAAACCTTCAGAAAGTAATCACAGTACAAATTCAATTCAAATTCAAAAATACTTTATTGATCCCAGAGGGAACTGAGGTGTTGTTGTAACTCATTTAACTAAAAACTTATTGTAGATGCTGATGGCTGTGGGCAGGAAAGATCTTCTGTAGCGGTCTGTATTACAGTGAAGTTGAAGAAGCCTCCGACTGAAGACACTTTGTCTTTCTATGACAGTCTGATGAAGAGGATGGTCAGGGTTGTCCACAATGTAATGTTAGTGGAAAAAAAAACACTAAAGTGAGATAAATCAGATAAATGTGTTTGTGATATATTTTAACATTTTCTGTTACACCTTGCATCCCATATGTGCATGATTGCCTTTAATGCACATAATTGCCTATATATATAT